CTGTTTAGAAAAATTTCTACTTTTCATATTAACATTACTCGTTATGAGCAATATCTCAATTTAGTTACTCAATGTTAACGAAACTTTTACTTTCCAATATTTAACTTTTTTTAATAATTAAATTCAATATAAGATAAATTAACATTAGCCTTATATTATTTTAATTATTTATTTTCATAAGATTTCGAAGTGAACTTGCTAAACTCTCCGATTAGACTTCTAAGTTTGGGTTTTTATATAAGTTAACGAATTATTAACAAAAACATAAAATATTATTGAGAATATATGATTTGACTAATATTAAAAAATTAAAAAAAAAACTCAATAAATATTTTGAATCCTATAAATAAAATAAATACGGTAAAGAATTTTAGTAGTTTTACAATTCATTTTTACTAAGCAAAAAGTTTGTTAGTATACATTAATGTTTTTTCCATTAAAAGAATATTTAAGCGTAATATAAAAGTTAAATGTGCTGCTTGAAAGATTGAAGAAAAGTGAGAACCAAAAAAAAAAATGATTAGTAAAGTACTATGTATATTCTAAAAAGTTGTGAATACCAACCCAAACTCTATATAATTGACAAAATAGTATAAATTGAAAAATTATGTAATTTAAATTAGATGCAAATAAAAACGTTTAAATTAAATAAAGGGATAAACTTAAAGTAAAATTTAGCAGGAAAAACTTGCTTTTAAGAGTTTTGAAAAAAAATAATAAAATCAAAACATATTTAAGCTTTGATAGTAAATATATACGTAACTATAAAAAGTATATTTAGCCGTGTAACAGAGCAAAACATTGGGAGTTTTATTAACCACACCTATAAACGGTAACAAGCTCACGAAAAGTTTTTTTTCCTTTTTGGACTGTTTATTGTGATGTAAATTTTTAATGTGTAAACTAACCAAAAGAAACATTGCAGTATCCCAATTTCTTGAGTGTATTGAGTTTTTATACCTTTTAACCTGTAAAAACTATACTAGAAAAAGTATTAATTTTATCGCAAGGTAAAAAAGTTAAATATAAAAATAGAGCTTGGAAACTTTCGCCTTTACAATAAAAAAAATAAGAGGATTTTAGATCTACTTAAAGAAAATGAAATAGGAAAAATTTAGTTATGGATTTGCAAGAAACCTTGAAAAACTTACCTAGATCAAATTATAAAAAAGGCTACTTTTTTCTTTTTTGTGTCCGTTAATAAATTAAAAAAAAATTATCTTTAAACCTTTATAAGGGCAAAAGATTTCGAAAAATAATAGAAAAAAGTTATGTAGTCAAAAAATACCAAACTAAAATAGTTACATACCTCCTAAATCTACTAAACTACTCACTTAATTTTTATAATAGTTTTTTAACCTGAGCTTGTGCATAAAAAAATTTTTGACTTGAAAATTTTTTTTTAATAATTCAGATACCCGCCACGCAGTCCACCTTGAGCTCCTTGTATCTGTTGCCTTGGCACTGATCGTTTACGAATACGTCTCTTTGTACATTATATAAATTACATGATATTTTATAAAAAAAAAACAAGGTGTTCATCTAGTAGCTAAATATGAACCCTCTTTTTTTTAAAAAACAATAGGCAACAGGAAATAAAAGAAATAAAAAAAAGTTTTCAGGGCATCAGTGCTGAATTACAAGATCTCGAATTTAACAAGTGGTATGGGAAGGCGACAGAAAGAGTTTTGATAATAGCCAAAACTAACGAACAAACAAATTTTCTCTTCGAAGTGCCCCAGAGAATCGCAAAAACGATCGTAAATATTTAATTAATTTAGTTTGATTATTTTCTAATGCTGTTATTAATTGACGATTCAATTACTTTCATAATTAATTACTTGCATAATTCCTACTTGTTTATTTACTTTAATCTTTTAGGATTCTATTGTGCAATCGATTAATATAATGAACAACTTAGAGTTAAAAGAAAATCATATACATTTAAAAGTAATTCAATTTAAAATATTAACAATATTGTGTGGAATTAATATCAATATTATGCAATATTAGACGTTGAAACATACTTCTCTGTATTGGCTTCTTGGAATTATTACAGCTTTATTATTTTTGTTATAAATAATATTACATTTAATAAATTGTGTAAAAACCCAGTCAAACATATCACAATGTCAATTTTATGGTCGGAATAAGCCCTTTGGCTCTTTTTATATCAAGTAGAAAAGAGTCGTTAAACAAGCTTGTGTACAGCTAACAACATTTTGTAGAGTGTTTGTTATTAAGTAACTACGTGTCATGCACCACGCGGGGACACACACGTACGCTTAAAGTTTACTTTGAAGGGTTATAACCTTTCGAGGCTTCAACTATAAACACGCTGCTTAGGATAATCTATTCGAAAATGCCGATGAGAAAAACTTGTGAAGTACGAGGGCAAAAACAATCCACGGGTGCAAGCACCCCGCCACGATACATAAAACAAAAACGAGCTTTTCAGGCATACCCGGCTTAGCGTTTCTTTGCAGTCACGCTACATAAGTTCTCATCAAATCACCTCCTCGTTCTGATCGAACTAGCCAAAGGTAGGGCCACAGAAAAGCTCTGGACACGCTCTTCACGATTTGGGACACCCATCTTTAATTATTGTCAAAACTGCTGTCACACTCCATCTCCTCTACTATAAACTGCGTGATAGTGACTGAAAGCGACGAAGGTAAGATATCATTTTTGTTGATCACCTGGTTGCTCAGTGTTAGCCTCCGACTTTAGCTGGTGATGGAAGCAAAGTTGGAATCTGGCGAAAGAATTAGGTCTATCACAGCTAATAAAACAGCGAAATAGTCTATGCACTTCAGCGGCGGAAACATTAAAACCTGATGGCATCACTAACGAGGCCCTAAAGTAGATGCCGTCGAAGACCCGCTCCTGCGTCAGCTAATTGTAAGTATCACCCGAATCAGACTACTAGTGGTTAAAAAACCTGTCCAAGCTGTCATGCCGCCCTGATTGAGGTTTTTATAAAAGCACCTGATTTACTGCCGAATTATTAATTTGAGTTCAGGCGAAGACACTCTGCCCAAACGGAAGCCCTTGCGCCTCGATAAGTGGAAAACATGCGAACTGCATGCTTAAAGCACCTTTCCCATACACTTTCTACAAAGTCCTCGAGTTGTTTCTAAGGGGGTTTTTTTTTCGCGTTCGCATCAGCGCTGCTTAATCACCATCACCCGCCCGCTTAACCACAGCGAACCCGAGCCCTCTTCCTGTCGCCATAGCTGTTCATGCTGCACGTTCAAGACACCTCTATTCCAAAGCACCTGTGTCGCTCTCTATACCGATACGATAGTCGAGTCGTTAAAGGATACTAAATTAAATGGCAGGTTAATAGCATTAGTCAGCTGTTATCATGGGTGGGTCTGATAGCCAGCAAAACGATGAGCAAGGCGCATTTCTTACCTCGAAACCGCCCTTTTCATTTTTAGATCCCGTGGAGCCCCTTGAGTAAAATACCTCCAAATAATTAGTGGCATTAAACTCCCACGGATACGAAAGGGTTCTTAAGTTGTGGCAAAAGCAAAGGCACTCTAAAGGTTGAATACGTGAAACCAACGTCACGAGATAAAAAGAGTTGTCATCGTAGCTCAGCGGTTAAGAGTGTTAAAGCGCCTACTAATGGTCGTGGATTCTATCCCCTCGACGCATCTCCCTTTTTCCGTTCGTTGTGGATGCTTATTTAACTTAGCCTTCATAACTTTTAATACGTTACAAACACGAGCTCTGCCATGCGCTAATCGTTGAGGTGTGAAAAGCGAGCTGCGCTTATCCAGGAGTTGTAACCTGACTTCCGTGATTTCAGTTCTCCTGCGCTGTAGACGTGGTCTGCCTTCTTCGTGGCATGAACTGGATGTTACTATATTGAGTCGCATAAATTTTATTTAAGCTCATTAACCAACTCAGTGATCACACTTAAAGATCTTTCTAATATTGTAAACTTACACAGCATTATATAACTTACGTACATTGCTGCTCAACTTATTGAAATTCTTTAACTTTATGCTGCAATGAATATTAGTACTTCCTTAGGTCACCAAGAGTCATAATATTATTTTCAATTTTCAACAATAATCCTTTCTTTAAAAACTTTGCGTTCTCCATTCAGCGTGCACAGCAATTGTGGGTTTGGTTATAAGAACATGTTCTAATTTTTATTATTAACTCTGCCTTAAATGGAAAATATATGTTATAATTTAAAGTTTTCCCCACGTTACCAACGTGAAGGTGGCTAAGAGGCAGTAATAATTAAACAATTTCAAGAGAGTATATCATTAAGCTTACGTGAAGTGAAGTTATTTATTACTCTTTCTTAATTAACTTATTCAAAATTTATGGTATTGTATTATGTTTCTGTAGTAGTCTTCTTATAGCAAGGCTACATAGAAGCAGCTAGTTTATTGAAGGAAATCGACGACAGTAAAGACTTAAATGGCTTTTGTGATCCGCAAAATTTTATAAAGTTTATCGCTACAAATTTTTAAAGAGGAAGAGAAAGGGATAGTGGAGAGTAGAGAAAGCATATATATTAAAGCATAAAAACACGGATTTCTAAAAGCTACTTATAGCTAGTAACTTGTTATGCCGTCCGCATCCCTCATATAAAATCCCCCCTCAGTACAAATAAAGATAAAAGCATGATGGAACGGGAAGTTTATAATCTTAAAAATTATTTTTAACCTTAAAGTGTTTAAAAGATTAGAATTATCACCTAGAAAATTTTTTAATTTTTTAATTTTTTTTTATATAAAGAATTGTTATATCATTATAACCTTGACCTTCTACTAAATGCGACACATTTGATATAATTATTTAAAAGACATGATAAAACACTCTTTTACATGTTTTATAACTAAGTTATATGGTAGAAGATAACACTTTTTCCGAATAAAAAATAATAAAACATTTTTCAATATTTCAATATTTTATTTTATTTAAACTTTCTACAAACATAAGGATAACGTTTATTTTTTTATTCTCGCCGTAAAAATGAATCATCTTATCCAAACGACTCGTTAACGTCTTGATTCCAATGACTGCGTGGACCGCGTACACAAGAGCATGTGCTTTTTCTAGTGCGCCAAAGAATGTATGCGCACATGGCAATTAACAAAGCGGTGGACACGAGGAGGTAACCCTCGTACATTTGCAGCTAAATGATTAATAGTGAATAAAATAATAACAATAACAGTAATAGTAATAAGCAAACTTTATCATTGATATTGAAGATTTCGCGTGCATTTTGCCTAAATAAAAATTCAAGTGCTACAATTAGCAACTTTATTTCTTCAAGTTGAGGAAGAAACGTTTTAAAAAATAATTTATGTCTTTCTTCCTTTCGTTTTTTATAATTATAACTAATAACAAACAAAGAGAAATAAATAGTAACTATTTCTTTCACAGTCCTCTGATGGAAGTCAGAGTGATTAAGGACATAGTAATCGTGAAGTTTTCTTAAGTAGGAGCTCGTTGCATTAGCAAAAACTTCCAATCTTTCGAGCTTTAAGTACAATATTAGTAATTAATAATAATAATAATAATAATAATAATAATAATAATAATAATAATAATAATAATAATAATAATAATAATAATATCAGCAATAGTAAAGGGAAACCCTCAAGTTCAAATTCAATAATATATTAGCAGCAATTTTATTTCTTTCGTGCGTAGAAAGTTGAGGTGGTTCAGACAAAGACTCTCTCCTTGCCTCATTATTAGTGTGACTATCTTCGTTATTACTAGTACTAATATTATTTTTATTATATGTGTTGATGTTACGGTGGAAGCTGTCTTTTATAGGGCACTTCCCCGTGGCCTTTTCTATAAAAAATAATGGGCTATTTGAGCAAGTTGGCTGCGGAAAGCACGTGGATTGGCAGGAGGACGAGTGAGTCTGGCTTAGTAGTGCCTCCGGAAGTCTCATGTACTTCAAACTCATGCTGGGCTGCTTTGCAATAATCTTTTCAATTGAGGCCAGTGCGCTGCCCAATAAGGTTTGGTTAAACGTGTTTGGTACGTGCGAGACACTAAAATGGGACCAATCAGAAGGTTTTTTTGTTTATTAACATTATTCATACTTCTTCATATCCAGAAAAATAGCCGAAAGATGTGAGTCTGCGGGTGTAATAGGTGACTTTAGAAGGCTTTCTGTATGGCGGACGTCCTCCCAAAAATAAAAATATTCGTTAATCAGAGACCAAAAGAACGACCAATAAGCTTTCAGGCTCTAAAGAATTTGCATTTATTAATAATAAAGAGAATAATTCAAATTTACACCATAACGAAACTAGTCCACCATTTAAAAATGAGTTCAAAAAGATCTAGCCAATAATATAAGACATTTATGGCTTCCTCGTTGTTGGATAAGTTTTCTATGTATAATAAGAAGTTATTATTAAGTTAAAAAGCTTTTATTCATAATAAAAAACGAAGGAACCCAAATTGTCGGGAGGTTCACTAAAACTATCATTAAGCCCGTGAAAGTCGTTAAGCATAGTCTTTCCAGAAACCTGTTGAAAAAAAAAAATTAACCAATAAAAATTAATATAAATTAAAAAAATATTGATAGTTTAGACCAGTAAAAATAAAGTAAATGCGTGTCCAACAAACTTTAAAATTCACAGGTAATTAAAAGATAACAATAAACCAATCAAAATAAAAAGATGATATGGTTATATCCAATAGAAGCAAGTATAAAATGAAAACACCAATAAACTGGCATTAAATGAATTTACCGTGAAAATAAAAATTATACCTCGCGAACAAAAAAATTTTAAAAAAATTATCCAATAAATTAAAAACAAGTATAGTTAGGTCATTAAAATTAATTAAAAATATTTCTGTCCAATAAAAAATTTTTATAATAATAATTAATTATTAATGCTTAAACAGTTTATCCAATTAATATTATTTAAAAAATAAATTGGATACTATTGGTTAATAACAAGTACAATAAAATTTATGCTTAATAAGTTAAAAAAAATTAAATTATCCAATCATTGTGATATATTTTGCTTTCTGATCAAAACAGTTTGTTTCAATACAACAACAATATTATTTTAAAAAAAATTTCAAAACCAATAGAAGTAAAGATTACAAACTGACGAAACCCGGCAATAGTAACAATGTTTATTAATATCCCAAAAACCAATAAAAAATATACAATAATTTTTAATATCCAATCAAATTATAAAATATATATAAAAAATGTCCAATCGCATCACTATTTTTATAAATACTAACTCACACTCAGTTATACAAATAAATAAGTGAGAAGTAAATTTCTTACATGGAAATAACGCTTTGGATAATAAGAAACAGAAGTAAATTTATGGTCATAAAAATAAATGAGTATTATTACTTTATTCATATCAAAAAAACAATATATTAAACCAATAACATGGAAATGAATTGAACAGACAAATAAAATTAAAATTAAATGTATGCGTTACATAAGCTCTATTATTAATGTATTAATAAAATAACTTCAACATTTTGTTAAATTTTTTTTATTTTTATCATTTTCTTAATAAATTTTACGTACTAAAAAAATTTTTTTTTATGAATAAAAGTTTTAAAATAGAATATTATATTCGCAAACAATTAAATAATAATAATAACCTGAAAGGAAGAGATTGGACAGTAGTAATTGGAGCCGTAATAGTCGTGGAAAACCAACTTTATATAAGAAAAATATTCATCGTGCCAAGGCAACGCAAATGATTGGTCTGATTTAGTGTTCTGCCCAATAAAGTCAGCAAGTTTAGTCCAATGATCGGCCGGAAAGATTTTGGAAGCGTATACCGTAAAGTGTTTAAAAGTGGATGAAAAGTACTATAAAATAGTAAAAGTATATTAAAGTAATAAAAAAATTAATAACTTTTTTAAGTTTTATTACTTTAATTAATGAAGAGGAGTAAATTGTTTTATGTAATTAAAAAATACTAAAAGCATTCTTAGTTTATATAAATAAGATAATAAAGACAACATTTAAGTAAAGTTTTTCTCGTAATATTTTTTCTAATTGTTTTCACTAGTAATATTCTTAAATAGTTATTTAATATAATATTTACTTTTTAGTAAAAAAATTCCGATAAACCATTTATAAGGGTTTGTTATAAGATTTTTCCCATAAAAAAACTGCAGAAATTTATTATTTTGTGACGCATTATTTAAAAAGAGCCAAAAAATTAAATAGCACACAATTAACTAATTTAGCCGAATTCAGAAATTTCCTGGCGTAAATAAACTTATAGAAAATTTCCACGTGGAATAAACGCATACAATTAAGTTGACTTTTTGTAAGCAAACTGACACAAATTAGTGTCAGCAAAACCGCAGTTTAGCTAATTTGTCGCAGAATATATATTTTGCATCGTTTTTTAAGGGGTTAGCTTTTACCACGTGAAGCAAAACTGCGCCGAATTATAAAATAAGGTGCACATTAAAAGCAAATTATAAACGGTTTTAATCTATTTTAAAGACAGTTTTGTATCTTCTATTTAAACTTCACGTGAATATTTACAAAGAAAATTTTTCATTTAAAAAAATTTTATAACTTTTTTTATTATTTAACCTCATAATTAGCTAAAATAATGTATTCAAGGCGAATTCCTTCGCAGAGTTGAACAACAAAATATCTGATGGTGATTAATAATAATAATGAGAAGCGTAAGATAAATATCAAAATTTATAATCTATTAATTTAGTTAAACAAATAAATAAACTTGTAGTTACTATAGACGTAACAAAGTATCATCAAAATTAAAAAGTTACATAAATATTAAAAGTTGTTATTAAGAACCTTTCAGGGGCATCGCACTCGTTTAACATGTAACGATCTTTAGATTCTAATAAAATCGCCCGAGGAGTTTTGCTTTCCTTGTTAGCCTCCAATACTTTAGCGTTGCAGTCGTAAGAGGCGTAATTGTAGTACCAAACACTCGACTACTTTAAAAAAAAATTATTTTTTTAATACTAACATTATCACATAATAAACAATAAATTTTTAAATTTATTGCAGTTAATAATGAAGAGAAAAGTGAATATAAAAAAAAGGAATATAATAATACTATAGAAAATATAATATAAAATAATATAATTTTGAGTGTTAACTACTATATATAACCTTTAAAAAGGGACGACTATTTATTGTAGTCGTTTTAGTATAATTTTGACTACTTTGATTAACGTGAACATTGGAATTATTAAAAGCGTGATAACTTCCTTGCTCTAAATTTCCAGTGTTATTGTAACTACTTCTATTATTACTACTATTAAGGTTGAGATATTCTTCAGTTTGCTTGTGATAAGAGCTAGAAGACTGAATATTAAATTTGCATCTTAAAGGAGAATCCCCACTAAAAAATTAATAAAATAAAAAAATAAGTTAAAGTGAAAGTTTTTAAAAAAATTGGTGGAATTACTTCACTGGATTAATAGTTTTATTTTCGTATTGAATGCTAATCAGCTTGTTAACAATACCAAGGGGTACTGTACATTTATTTTATGTACTAATAAAAGTGATAAGACTAGAAATAACAAATTTTTACTACCTACAGTGGCTTCAGGGTCTATTGTTGCAAAATTTGTATTAATTTCGTGAGAACTGTTGTTGTTATATAAGTAAAAATTTCCGAAAACGTGTATGTTAGTAATAATTGTAAGCAAATAATATAGAATATTAAAGAAGGGCATACGAAAATATATACGACTAATACAATTATACAATAGCCTGCAAAATTGAATGATAGTCCATATTATAATAAATAACAACAAGCTTATTGTGAAACCAAGCAAAACACCACAAAGCAGCAAAGACTCTTAAAGTTTACTATTAGCGAATAAACATTTTTTTAGTTGTAAAATTTTTTCTTGCCCAATAAAACAGAAGCAATAGCTCTAACAATTAATAAAAGGACTTGCTAGGAAAAATACTAACAAAAGTTGAAAAATATTTATATTTGCCGTTATAATTCCAACTTTTAAACAGAAGTTCTAGTATATGGAAGATGCAGGAATTTAAAAAGTTATCAATACTGATAACTTGTTATACTCAATACTTAGCTGTGCTAAAAAGTTTTATTCTTTCTTATATATTTAACCTTGCAGTCGTAGTTATCGCACGTTATTTACCATTTTTAGAATAGGTTTTCAATATATACATAAAAAAAGGTCTCTTAAAGCTAGTAACATTCACGCATGATTTAATTTTAATCGTTAAACATTGGTAATATGGAAAGGTAGTCGGACGAAGAGAGCTAAGTTACTACAAGCCCGTTCAAATAGTATTTTTTTTTTACAGTAAATTTCGTTAGTAGTAAGAATAAATCAAATAAATTTGATTTTGTACAATTTTGCTCACAAACAGAAGTTATTAGCCATACGTACATTAAAAAATCATGTATTTTTTCAGTAAGAAACTGGAGGCCTATATTAATATAAGAAAATAGTTTTTATAACTTAGTTCGATACCGTCTTTCATCCTTATATATTTATGTCAAGACTATATTCAGTGTTAGCTATGATATTTGGCTCTAAAACTGATAAATTTAATTATACATATTGTTCATTGCTATGTAAGGACCTTTTTTTCTATGGTAAATTTTATTCACAAATTAAAGTCAAAAAATTTAAGATCTGCTGAATCACTATTACTGTATCTTTTAGAGGGACATCTAAGTAGTTTCAAGATGAAGAGCAATGAGAAATGCGTAAACTTTGAGATAGAAAATAATGAGGGTTGGCCTCATCGTTAAATCCTATTTGAAATAAGGACAACTTACCCAGAAATCTTTAAGTACTATTATAACACAGTAAAGGTATTTCGCATTGTGCTATAAATTTTAAATAAAATATAAAATAAATATTAAAATCGGCATTATAAATTAGGAATATATATTCTTTACGCAATGGCATAATTTCAAATTTTTGGCAGCGCAAGTTACCAATTTGTCGTTGAAATAGATTTTATCTCTTTAAGGAAAATATTTTCAAAGTTATCTTTCGAAATAACTTTGTTTGCTACAATTAATGTTCCACTATGCCTTGTTATATAAGATTTGCACCTTAAATTTGTCACGACTTTGCCTTAATGACGCAAAATTATTATAGCCGTAAATATTTGAGTGCTGATTACAATCCCTTAACCTAAAAGACAGTTCATTTACTTCTTCCTGCCAACCTAAAGTACTTAGAATTTAGCTTATGGAAGCCCTTCAAAAAAGAACATAAAAATAATCGGAAAATATTAACTAATTCCTTTTACGTTTAGTAGCAGGCATTTACTCGGTAAGTAGTTTACTTATTTTAAGAATTTTCTCTTTGGTTAGTTTGTTAAAAGTCCCACTAAAACCAACTGGACCATTTGTCACCGTGGCTGCTGATAGAGAGCAACTTAAAGATTACAATTCATATATATATTTAAGTGGAGTCCGTGTATAGACATCTTTATTTAAGTATTCTGTCTGCCGTAGTTCTTAAGGTTTGTAACCTCATCAGTAAATTTTATAGAAATTTTATTTATAATTAGTATTATGAGATATGCACCACTTTAAAGCAATATCTTCCATATGCATTTATATAAAGAGGTCTTAAAGGAAATAAATATAGATAATTGTTTCATATATATTTTCATACGATTTTATGCAATGTAATTATATAGTAAACCGGAGCTTCTTTCATATAAAAAGTTTTTCCTACCCCCGTAAAGTTTAACATTTTTATATAGAAGCTTTGTTATATCAACAACGGTGTAATTCTTGCGTATACACTTTTAAGTGTTACGTTAAACTTTATTGAATGGGCACTGGAAAGTTTCCAACTAAAAAAACTAAAATAACAGTAACAATCCAATAAAACAAGCCTAAGTAAACCTCAAAATAACAAACAGCAATAATTCTTTTTACTTGTTCGCAAATATTTTATTTCATTATAAGGTAACTTTTTTAAATTTTCTAAAATTGTAGTTCATACTTTTGTAAGGGTGTATATGAAGTTATTAAATTGAACTAAACTGAATTTACAAACTAAAGAATTAGCTGAAAATTATTAATCGTGGATTTTTAAAATTATTATAATTTAAAAAACCCCTATATTATTATCGTGGCTTATAGTCGTCATAGTTAGAAACTATTTAAGTGGTCTAAGTAATGTTTTAGAGTAAGTCAGTACTATAAAGAAGCTTTTTTGACGTGAAGTTAAAGACAATATAACAATACTTACAAGTGCAAAAAAATACTTATAATTAAGGGTTTTAGAAGTAAATCCGGTTTATTACCAAAGTTAATATACATCTTTTCCTGTAAGCTCTGAAGTTATGGCCATGAGAGCGTTTTATACGCATGTATACTTACATGCAAAGTAGTGTACAAATTATAATTTTTTACCTCCTTCACTCTTTTAAACTTTCTAAAAAGTTACGTATACTTAAATAAAAAGCGCCTGCTGATCTCTGGTGCTTTGCACTAGTTTCAATACATAAAACGTTCCAGTTTTGCGATCTACGCTCTACCATAGCTCTTGAAACTTTTCTGGCTCCACTTAAGTCATTTTTGCAACCTACAAATATAATTTTAGAGGAGGAATGATGAGCAGGCTCAGATGTGTTCGCCGGTGTTATCTCCTTGTTTATATTGCTCATTTTATTATGATTACTATTATTATCGTTAGTAACGATGAGGTTAGGGTCTTTCCGCTCGAGTTTCTTTTTAGAATAAGAAGCTCTATGGTTATCTACTTCCAACGAAACTTTAGAACATGAAAAATCTTGAGGGTCTGCTAGTGCATGAAGCAAACGACTTTCATAAAAATTCACTGCATAACTAAAGGAAGCTTCGTTTGTTACATCATAGCAAAGCATTATTACGTCAAACTCCCTGAAGTCTCCTTGATAATTGGATGAATATTCTTTTCCAGTGTCCATTATAAGTAGTTTAACTCTCAGCAAGTTACGACTTACTAATGCTAAATTAGCAGCGGTGCAGGGCTGGGTCACTTCAAGTTGTAAAACTTTAGTGTAATAATCACGTAAAGTGGGGGTATAATCAGCCAGAAAAACGTGTCCAGTAAACCTATATTAAAATTATATATAGTTGTAATAATGATTATATTTATAGCAAAAAGTCATTTATATTTAATATAATATATTACTTCGAAACTTGTACAAGAATTATTAACCACACTACTTAATAATTCCTTATATTAATACCTTGTTACCATGGCTGTTTTACCAACTTTACTGTCTCCTAGAAGACACATTTTGATTTCTTTAAGGCCTACTTCATACTTTAAAGAACCGCTCCTTTTAAGGTCTCCTCCAATAAGCTGAACTTTTCTATGCTCTGCACGATGTATTGCGATCCTTTGAAATTCGTGAAGCAGCTTTAATTCATCGTCGTTTTCGGATAATGACTCGTTATCTCTCTTTTCCTCTTGCCTTGAAATACTTAAGTTATTTTTGAATTCCTGTTTTTTTTTGTTTTTTTGTTTACTTTTTTTAAATTCGGTTATAGGCGGTTTAGAACCTTTTGTTGGTGTGGGAAGTAAAGTTTCTCCAGATTCTTCATTTAAAGCTATCTTTAAACTAGAATTATTGTTACTATTCTTTAAACTTTTTCTTTGCTTTAAAAATGATTTAGAACAGCTTTGGGACGAGTCGATGAGATCAATGGTATTAAGTAGAGAATTTGAAGTAAAATAATCTTCATATTTTGATAAATAATTATTCTTTAACTTTTTGCAGCCACTATAAAACTTTGCACTACAAACATCCGAGTTTTTTATAGAGCTATTACTTCTTAGTTCACAACTTTTCTTGTCTGATGTGTGGCAGAAACTTAGGGACCTACATATATTGGATTGCTTACTAATTTGACAACGTTGACACTTGCATGTAAGACAAGAGTTAGCCTCTCCAAAGTTAAAACTTTTGCTTCGAATGGATGTACATACACTACTTGTTTCCGAGACAGAGATTGGTTTATTTGCAAAAGATTCGGTGTTTTCTGAAGGAACAGTAACAAATATCAAAGAAAGTATAAGTTCTCAACTTAAAAATTTATTAAAATATTAACCATACCTTGTAGCTTGAGTGCATGTAAGGTAGTAGTTCTTTGAGTGCTAGCCTTTTTATTTATGACATCTTGGAAGTTTCTCAGGCTAGTAGAAATCATTTTTCCCTTGGCAAAGTAAACATCATTTACGAATTCATTCTCAAGAGCAGCTTCTGCAGAAACCCTTTTGACCTTATTTAGCTTTCTTAATGATCTATCTCGAGTCAAAGTTATATTATCACTAGAGTAATACATAAGTGTTGGGTGCGTAGGCTGGGTATTTGCTTCCTTTCTAGCTCTGTTATTTAGTTTGTCAATATCAATACAACTCTCAGGGACAAGAGGGACAATGTCTTCGGTTAAATTTTCTTTTTTTACTTTAGAAGAAAAAGTTTCTTCGCCCTTTGGTTTCTGTTTGTGCGAAGCGGTGTCTTTTTTTTTAAGTGTACTATATGTAGAGTTTTTCTCCGGTATAGGTTGTAGTAATACCAAAGGGTCGTTAAAATTGGAGTTCACTTCAATAGGTATTATGAATTTATCGTTGTTTTTATTTTTTTTCAGAACTTCATGCATA